GCCTTCAGTTTGGTGCACTTGTCCTCTGGTACAGTTACATTTAGGAGCTCGCATTTGGTGAGATTGAGTTTGAGACCCAACAGTTTGCCATATGTCTGGAATTCCTTTAGGAGCTCCGTCGGTGTGGACCAGGGTTCTTCTACATAGAACAGCATATCATCTGCCTATGCTAATATCTTGTGTTCCATGTCTCTATATCGAAACCCCTTGACCAACTGTGCTTTCCGCATGGTGGCAAGGAAGGGTTCCAGCGTGATTGCGAATAGCAGTGGCGAGAGGGGGCATCCCTGTCTGGTGCCATTCCGTATTGGGAAACTATCTGTTAGTGCCCTATTAACCCTCACTCTCGCTGTCGGGTCGTGGTATAGTGCTCCAATCCAGCTAAGTATTCTCCCTCCGATTCCTACTTTTCGGAGAGTCGCCATCATGAAGTTCCAGTCTACTCAGTCAAAGGCTTTCTCTGCATCTGTGGAGAGCAGGAGAAGCCTCCGTCCCTCTCGCCTGGCCATATGTTGAATAGAAAACATTCTCAACGTGCAGTCAGGGCCGGCGCTTCCTATAAGGCGAACTAGGCAGTCGCCTAGTGCGCCTCATTGGAGGGGGTGCCCTTCGCCCCCATCGCCAGCCCTTTAAATACTGCAGCTGCCTGAGGAGGGGGAGTAAGAAGAACACAGGGGGGGGGAGGTGGAAGGGGGTGAAGAACACAGGGAGGGAGGAAGAAGAACACACAGGAGGATGGGGGTGGCACAGGGAGGGAGAAGAACACAGGGAGGGTGGGGGGGACAGGGGAGGGAAAGAGGGGAGTGAGGAAAGCACAGGGGAGAAGAACACAGGAGGGGGGAGGCACATGGGGAGAGAAAAGACACAGGGGAGTGAGAAGAACATAGAGGGGAGTGAGAAGAACACAGGGAGGGTGGAGAAGAACACAGGGAGGGGGAGTGAGAAGAACACGGGACGGGTGAGAAGAACACGGGGAGGGGGTGAGGAGAAGAGGAGATGAGAAGAACACAAGGAGAGGGAGGTGAGGAGAACACAGGTAATGGGGGGTGAGGAGAACACAGGGAGGGGGGTAAGAAAAGACTGCTAGGGGAGGGTGGGGAGAGAGGAGAGACCACTAAGGGGCAGGGGAGAGCTCTAAGGGGCAGAAGGGAGAGCCCTATAGGACAGGGGCAGGACACAGGACAGGGAGCTCTTTCACACTACGCGCACACACACACACACAATGCATCCCTATACATACACAGAAACACGCAATGCATCTCTACACACACAGAATCACAACAGGCTTCCCTTACACACAGAGAAACACACAATGCATCCATTACACACACACACACACACACACACACACAATGCAGCCCTTACACATAAAGACAATGCATCCTTTGCACACATACACAGAAACACACAATGCATCCTTTACACACACATGCAAACACAAACTGCTTCTCTTACATACACACAGAAACACAATGCATCTCTTACACACACTTAATGCACCCCTTACAGACACACACACTGCATCCCTTACATACACAGAAACACACCTCGCATCCCTTATGCATACAAACACTGATTAACACAATGCATCCCTTACACACAACCAAAAACACACAATACATCCCTTATAAACAAACACACACTGCTTTCTATCCCTTACACAAAAACACACTGCTTCCACTACACAAAAACACACTGCATCACCTACACAAACTGGTATCCCTATACACTACATTCCATAAGCACACACATTATAGATGCTCTACAATAACACATCCCCTACACACTCCACTCCCTGTGAGTGAATTCATGGGTGGAACATGTAGGTGGACTTATGGGTGGGCCTTATGTGAATACTCACCGTCGGGCCCTGGGGCCCAGACTTTGAGCTGTGTAAGGGGCCCCAAAAAATGGAGCTGCTTCCCGTTCTCCCAGAACATTGAATTTTGTGACCACAGTTACAAACAGCCTCCAGAGATCCTGTTCTACATCAGACCAGTGGCACCAAACTGCAGCCAGAGCCCATCACCATCCTCATCTGGTTGTAAGTAGGCAATCTAGTATATTATTAGTGACACTAATCTCTAAATTACTTCACATTAAAGGGACACTATAGTCCCCAGAACCTCTGCAGCTTAATGAAGTGGTTCTGGTGTCTATAGCCTATCCCTGCAAGCTTTTTAATGTTAACACAGACTGTGTGTAGCACTGGCATTAGTTCATATGGCAGATCATATGGGTGGGCATTGTGATGTCACACGGGAGGGACGGAGGGGGGGCAGCAAATTTTATTTTTGCCTAGGGCGGCAAAAGTCCTTGCACCGGCCCTGAGTGCAGTCCCTCGCTTCCCTCCCTGGTATGAAACTGGCTTGGTCTGGGTGTATTAATCTTGGCATGTATGTTTGTATTCTTGTTGCCAGGATTTTGGACAGTATCTTCATATCTGTGTTGAGTAAATATATTGGTCGATAGCTCTCACATTTCTCTGGGTTTTTCTCTGGTTTTGAGAGCACTGTAATTGTTGCAGCCAGAGATTCTCGATGTAGGGTGGTCCCTGTTGCCAGTGCATTGAGTGCTTTTGTTAGTTTGGGAACTAGGACAGGTCCAAATTTTTTTGTAGTATCCCGCTGGTAATCCGTCCGGGCTTGGGGCTTTCCCATTCTTTGTTGACTTTATCACTGCCTGCACTTCATCTTCCGATATAGTGTCTTCTAACAGTTCCGCTTCTGCTTGCGAGATTTTATCCAGATCGAACCCCTGAAGGTAACTCTCTATATCACTTTGCACCGCTGTGAGATACCTATCTTCCGCTGCAGGTTGGATATTGTACAGCGTCTGGTAATATGTGCGGAATTCGCCCGCTATCTCCTCCAGGAATTGAGTCAGTGTCCCCGTTGCTGTCCTGAGCTTTTGCACTTGTGTCTGGGCTGTATTCTCTCTTATCTAGTGTCTTGTATATATGCCTGTATAGTTTATAATCAGGTTTTTTTCACCTGTGGCGCCGCCTCCCACTCCAACTTTTTTTACAACTGTATCATATATATGATCCAGACCAAAGTTATATTTCTCTCATTTTAGCTTTTATCCTTGGCTCGCAATGCCATCATCGTTTGATGTCAAAACCAAACAACTCTCGACCACACTAACCACACTACCCCCCTTCACAGACTCATGGTCCAAAGACCTTAATGTTCAAATCACAGCATCTCAGTGGAAGGCTATCTTTCTTCAAACACATAAAACCTCAGTCTGTACCGCTGTTCAGGAAGGTAATTATAAGAAAATTTCCAGATGGCATTACTCTCCATCCAAAAAATACATAGCTTATTCCCCAACTCACAAGATTTATCCAACCAGGAGCATCCCTAGCCCATACCTGGTGGCATTGCCCGCTAATCCAGAGATACTGGAATGATATAGAGAAATTGCTCAAAACGATAACGGGTATTCAACTACCTCTTAACCCACAGACACTACTGTTCATGAAACTCCCCAAACCACATCGACTCCTCCTTATCCACCTGATAACAGCAGCCAACCTGCTCATCCCTGCAAAGTGGAAAAACCCTGCAGCTCCATCGATCAGGGAATGGATCACCTAGGTAGATAAACTCAGGACCATGGAGGAAATACACACCTCCATCTCCCATAAACAGACACTCTTCCAGGAAGTATGGGAGCCCTGGGTCAGATTTATAACCGATAAGTAACTTAGTTCTATAGACCACCCCCCACCCCCTCCAAGCAGGATACCCCCTGCCTCCCCCACTATCTCCACGACTCCCCCACTATCCTCCAAGATCTAACATCAAACACAACTCTAGCGTCCGTACCGGACCGGAGGGCTAAACCCCCCCGATCCCCCCCTGGTCCATCCCCCTTTTTACTAGACTCATACCTTCATAAATGGCATACGGTCTTTCGCAAGACCAGAGGTCCCAATTTCCTAACACAGAACCACCAACCACCACCACACGGGAGCCAGAGAGATCAGTACATCGTTTATGTATTCATCTTCAGTGAATTTAGGAATACACCCAAGTATCTCCCAGATAGCCAGCATGTCTGACACACATTGTACATCCGAGGTGATATCCTTTGTTCCTAATGTACCCATACACTGTACTGACATAATGCTTGGATCCCATGCCAATGTTTAATAAAAAATTTAAAATAATTTTTTTTTTTTTTTTAAAGCAGCTGGCTTTTCAAGAACTATATGCATCAGAACAAGTGGTATCATGTCTATCGGAGACCCAATGATACACCCCTGGCGTCTCTGCCACATAGTAGCAATTCAGACATGTTATCATCTATGGGTTTCTTTTACTAACCTACACAGCTAACCGCTATTCTAAGCACTAAGACCCGGTACTTTGAGTCATGTATCCACCGGCAATGTAGGATATACTGCACTGATATCTCTGGTTCATACAGGATATTCTATCTTATCTAGTCCACTGGCAATTCTCCATGAGTAACTATTTTATTGTAGAAAACAAACAGCAACAGTGTCAGAACTTAGAGTCACCCGATGTGTAGTATTTCCGCGACACTTTACCAGCACAGCATGACTGAGCCCCTTTCAGTCAGTAGCGGGGGAGGAAGTGAATTCAGATCTCTTCCACCCAGCTACAGGAACAGTCGAGCAGGAGGGAGAGGAGGCAAAGGAGCACCAGGAGGATGCAGGGGGCGAACATGAAGAGACCCAAACCCACACTCCAATCAGACTGAGCCAGCAGCAGGACCAAAGGCAAGCCACCTCTGCACATAAAAGGTATGCTAACAGGAAACTGGCAAAAATATAAAATATTATTGTGTATATGTATCTATGTTTCAGTGTGTTTGTATGTGTTAGTGTATCTGAGTGTTTGTATGTATCAGTGTGTGTATCTGTGTGTTTGCATGTGTCAGTGTGTGTCTGTGTGTCAGGGTATTTGTATGTGTCAATGTGTTTATATGTGTCAGTTTGTGAATCTGTGTGTCAGTGAGTGTATCTGTGTGTCAGGGTGTTTTTATGTACCAATTTGTTTGTATTTGTCAGTCTGTCATCTGTGTGTTTAGGTGTTTGTGACAGTGTGTGTATCTGTGGTCAGGATGTTTGCATGTGCCAATGTGTTTGCATCTGTCAGTATGTATCTATGTGTGTTTCAGTGTGTATCTGGATGTATTGTAAATCTCAATGTGTTTATATGTGTGTATCTGTTTGTGTGTATAAATTTGTATATTTATCTGTGTACATATCTATGGGGCAGTGTATGCGTGTCATATTTCAAAACCTAATTTCAGAACTTTATTACATTTCAGTCAATTTCAGAACTTTATTACATTTCAGTCAATTCGTTCCAGCTGCAATTCCTGTTTCCAACCACTAGTGGCCTCCCTAGCCACTAGTCTAACCAAGTTATTCTCACTTGTATAGCATGATCACCTAAACATGCTACAGGAGGCCACACCGACTTCTCAGGTGGCCTTTACCTTGATGAAAGTTGGTGTTCTGAACCTGACAAGACTTCAACTCCTGGCTCTTATTGAAGAAAACCTGCTTTACTCTTACTACCTTGAAGCATACTGATTTATTTCATCGAACCTGCTTTATATCTATACTGGACTTTGTTTCCTTATTGCTTATGTTCCAACCTACCTGGATATTACAGACTTTCCCATTATTTGCAAGTATCCTAAAAGACCCTATTATAACTATCTAAAACTGCAGTTCTGCCAACAAACCAAAGAAGCTGATCACTTCAATTTCTAACTTAACCTGTATTACTTTATCCTTTATATTTCTGTTTAGTTCTATCTAATTGTACTTTGATTACCTGTCACCTATTATTTAGTTTATAGGTTTTCCTTATCTACTCCTCATCTATAATTTCACTTATAGGTATCCCTGTTACCTTAAACCTGTCTGGGGCATGTTGCCTAACTCTTGTTTCCTTTTATCTCCCCTTGTAATTGCCTATAATTTCGTTTATAGGTTCTCCTACTACTTTTCTGCCTATAATTTCGTTTATAGGTTTCCTGTAACTTTATAACCTGTCTGTGACGTGTTGCCTAAACTCTCTTTATTTTATAACTCGCAATAAATAACCTGGTCAGAACCGTGACAATGTGTGTGTATATGCATACATCCCAGCAATTAAACCCCAGCAAAACATACAAAGACACCCCAACTACAAGAAACGTCTGACCTCTGTGATTTCCAACAAGGGTTTTGCCACCAAGTACTAAGTCGAAGGGGTCAAATACTTATTTCACTCATTGACATGTAAATCAATTTATAACTTTTTTTACATGCGTTTTTTATGATTTTTACAAAAACTTCCTGTCAGACCAGATAGACGACACAGAAAATCCTCCACCATGGTCTGCCCGGCCATATTACATGCAGATCAAGAGGCACAAGAAGGGAGGGGGGAAATGAGACACATGAAGGGGCTGGGGAGGGGAATGAGACACATGGAGGGTCTGCAGTGGAGAAATGGAAGGAATGTCACAGCGCAGGTAAAGTGCGGCCACGCTACCGAAAACCCCTCCACTATACTCACCCCACCGTGGATTCCCCTCTGGTCCGCTCGCTCCACATCTCCCAGCTGAAATGGAGTTTGGAACATGGCTGGTTGCTTCATTATGCCTCAGTTAAATAACCGAGCCTCAGAATGTGATGCTGACAATGCAGAAGTGTGAGCGTCATCGGCATGCATCCACGTTTTGGCATCACACAGTCCATTCTTAGCAACCCTTGCTGTTCTAGGGCTATTTAAACTCTAAATTGATTTTCTATGTAGCCCTGTCATGGTTTCCATTTGTTTGGTGAAATCCAAAAGCATGTATCTTCTTGTGTGTTTTCTGATTTGTCTGACCTTGATGTTACCTTGACTATTCTACTCTCTAGTGTCTTTGACCTTTGACTATTCGCATGTTTATTCTGTCTTCTCTAACCCTGACCTTAGCTAGTCTTGTGCTATTCTACTTTGCATTCAGTCCAGCCACTCTAAGGTCAGGTGATACATTTTCCCCTGTTTAGTATTTTTGTTTTACTTAAGTTCTGCAATTTGGGACCTAGTTATCCGTGACAGGGACATAGGAAAGGAAAAATTAGACACATGAAGAAGCTGGGGGGAGAAATTAGACACATGGAGGGGTATTAAGGGGAAAAAGATACACAGAGGGGCTTGGAAGGAAGACACATAGAAGGGCTTTGGGAAGAGAGAGACACACAAAATGGGCTGACGGAAAGGACATACAAATGAGCTGGGGGTAGAAAGAGACAAACTGAGGGGCTGAGGGGAAGAAGGAGACACAGTGGGTCTAGGGGAGCCAGAGCCACACAGAGGGGCTGGGAGGGATAAAGACACACACATGGGGCTTGGGGAAAAGACATACAGAGGCAACAGAGAAGAGTAAGAAAAGACAAAGGGACTGGGATAAAGACACACCAAGAGGAAAAATGTAAGATAAAGCCTGTAACAAAATCATAAGAGGGGATAAGAAACACAAAGGGTGGCAAGGAATTCAAAAGAGGGTTAAGAGAAACATAGGTAAATGCATATTTTTTTTTGGGGGATACATCTTCATCTGGGTCTTTTGCTTTCCCTGTAACTCAGTTCTTCAGCACAGGAGTCTATGCCGTAGAGTTGATTGACAGGTGAGAGAAAGATTATTAAATTAAAAGATTTTTCTTCCAATATGTACATTTCACTTACAATCATGCTAACACAGTGTGTATAATGTAATTGATGTGATTCTAATAGTGATGTGTGTGTGTGTGTGTGTGTGTGTGTGTGTGTGTGTGTGTGTGTGTGTGTATATATACTGATGGGGATAGGATTATGATAAACATAGGGTATGTGCTCGTTTGACAAGCTGATATTTCAAGCTCATTATTTGTGGTTAATAACTAAACTGGTCTTGTGAATGAGAAGAGAATTAAAAATGTAAGACTAGAATAGCCAGGTTAGCTGAGATAGAAAATATTTTACACCACATTTTGCAGATTATTTGTCATCTATTTATAGTTCCCAGCTGAGCGAAAATCTTTAAACCCATGTCTTATACAATAATAATTTGTACAGTTTCAATTTTGTTTGGTGTAATTTTATAAAACTAAATACCTTCATAGGTTATTACGTCCTTTGTCATTATTTAACATTTAGAAAAACTGAATATTTGTCTTTTAAATCTGCATCTGCGAATGCAGTGACTTGACTTAGTTCTGGCAGTGAGAGAGTTACAAAAGTTGCTGCTTTATCCAAACTACAGTTTCATGGTTTATAGTTATATTTTATTCAAAGTATGAAGTATGTTATGATATTTATTGTGGTTGACATTATCAGTTGACTCATAAAACATACATGTGACAAACGAAGTAAAGCTAGCGTTTACATTACATGCACACAAATAAATGTCAAGCAACAAGTAATACCATTGTACTTTTGAATGCGTTTTTCTTTGTCTAGTTTGGAGGCGTAGCTCAAATGAGCTGATGTCCCTCGTGAATGCAAAGGAGTCCTGCAGTGGAGTGCTCCCCCTTCAGATAAATCTTAGCAAGACTAGCATAAACTTACTTCTTTCTCCGATGGTGGTAGCACATGGAAAACAAATACTACTAAGACTAGTTAAACTTTTGCTAAAACTTGAAATGATATGAGACTGAGATTGATATTTTTTTTAATATGGATTGCATGTGTTACAGCTGCTGTAGGCCAAGTTTATTATTTTACATTTCTTTACATTTCTTTATTAGATTACACATACAAACATATTTAAAAAGCAAGAGGTAGAAGTAGGGGTGGGCCTTAATATATGGCTGATATAAATAAGCTTGAGGTAGAAGTGAGGGTGGTTCTATTGTGCTTCTCAGCTCTTGACAGTCTGCATTATATATAATTAAAGGGCAGTCTGCACCATAACCACTACAGCCTATAGTATGATTCTAGTATGCTAAGGATTCTGTCCCTAAGATCCTGTAACATATTGTTCCTCACCTTGTGGTCAGCGGCCGTGCGTCTGCATGACTAACACTAGCAGCATGATAATGGACGCTGGCTGCTGCAGATCCACGGCTAATTATACCCCCACGTCCGCTCACGTGAATGACGACGTTGGCGTGCATGTGACATTACGCACGCACCGCGCGCGTTTTGGGGTCAAAGAGCGATCCGGCCAATTGGAAAGGTAAAGCAGGTATAAAACCCTAGAATTGCCTTTCCTCATTGCCCTGTCGTGGTTTCTGTAGTGGTTGTCCGAGAGCGCCTACTGAAGGCCTGGGCAAATTGATCCATGCGGTGATCATTCTCCTCTAATTTCCTTTCGCAAGCAGCTATGTGCTGACACAATTCTACAGGATCTATGGCCATGTCGTAATATCAGAATTACTATATTTTATGGTGTAAAATATTTTCTATTTCAGCTAACCTGGCTATTCTAGTCTTACATTTTTAATTCTCTTCTCATTCACAAGACCAGTTTAGTAATTAACCACAAATAATGAGCTTGAAATATCAGCTTGTCAAACGAGCACATACCCTATCATAATCCTATCCCCATCAGTATATATACACACACACACACACACACACACACACATCACTATTAGAATCACATCAATTACAACATTATACACACTGTGTTAGCACGTAGAATTGTGTTACACAGATGACTAATAGCTAACGTATTACCGGGCCTTAGAATGGCCGGACTAACATACCAAAGAATAGTCAGGGTGCTAGCCGAGGTCAGGGGACACAGATAGGGACACAACGATAAAGGAAAGCCAGAGGTCAGGGATCCCAGAATACAGGGAAGTCAAAATCAAAGCCACAGTCAAAAACCAGAAGAAACTTGAATCAGGAACGCGCTCTCGGACAACAACTAGGGAAACCACGTCAGTGCAATGAGGAAAGGCAATTCTAGGTTTTTATAACTGCTTTACCTTTCCGATTGGCCGGGATCGCTCTTTGACCCCAAAACGTGCGCGCTCCGTGCATGTGTGATGTCATGTGCACGCCAACATCGTTATTCACGTGAGCGGACATGGGGGTATAATTAGCCGTGGATCCGCAGCGGCCAGCGTCCATTGACATGCCACAAGTGTTAGTCCTGCAGATGCAGGATACCAGAATACAAGGAAGTCAAAATCAAAGCCAAAGTCAAAAACTAGAAGAAACTCTCGGACAACCACACTAAAGACAGGGGTAGGGACTGTTCTCTCCTACAG